AAAACTGAAAGATAAGATATGAGGTTTAAGTAAAAGCCAAGACATTGTCAGATTATGTTGAATGTAGATAAAACTCACGAATATGACGTAGAGAGCGAATTTGAAGGATAGCCAATCCTCGATCCTGATGGTTTATCGTTGTTGATGAACCACCTATCTTCCGAATTACATACATCTACATAAACCTTGAAAAAGAAGATTGAAGAAGAAGAGCAATTCAAACAATAACGCACCTTCTGAGCCGTATCGAAGTAACTATCTACATTCTGCTGCGAAATGTCAATTAACTCGTACTTATCAGAATGTGCTATATAAAAACGGAGTCTCTCAGGAGGAATTGAGGACAAACCGAGAGATTTGAGAGCGCGGTCCCTTAGATCGACTAAATACAAAAAATCAACCAAACTGCAAAGAGTTATAGAAAAAGGCCTCTAAACATACGTAATGTATCACTTCCAGTTAACCGTAATTCGCAACATTTCGAGTTGTCCCTAGCGAGATAAACCTGAATAGGGGTGCCTAGGATAGTATAAATACGAAAAGTAGAAAACAACTATGTTCGTACATTAACAACACGAGGATAAACTTCTACGACGGGCTTCCCGTTCTTGGAGACGACTTTCCGGCATATGTAGTCGCGATCAGCCAATTCAAGACCATAGACTTCTTTTAAACGGTTGAACACGGGCTCCGGCAGTAGGTGAAAATCGATAGATTCAGCTAGATTGGAACGCAAAAAGTATGCGTCTCCAGCTGCAAAATCTCTGCTAATCAGTGCGGCTAATAATATTAAATCTTAAATGATCCCATCAGTCTAACTCTTAAGTCAGAAGTAGCCAGAGACACGAGTAATCGCATACAAAATTGCTAATTTCAACTAACTTACATTTACATGAGATAGAGGCATTATTTATCGAAGGAATATCTTCAACAAAGCCTTGTTTGGCGGCATCGAGAACTTTTGACCACCAAGCGTTACTAACCACGTACCTAAAAGTTGCGAATATACTTCCACTCTCTTGAGCCCTCTGAAACTGAAGTCCAATACTCCTCCGCCTGGAGCTGTTTCTCCTTCGTCCGACTTCCAAAGATAGATAGATGGGAAGTTATGATATCCTATTGTTAGAGAAAAATGACTAAGGAGAAACCAATCTGAACCTTTAAAAATGACGTGCTCTTTTTAAA